TGGTTTTTATTTATATATATATATACATAAATACACAGAGTTTTGTAACTGGGCTCTGTCCCTTCACCCTCAGTAATATTTGTTATTCACTATGTCCAGCTTCCAGCCCTCTGCAGCCCCCATGCATCATCTTCAGCCCAGCAAAGTGCAGAGCTGCTGCCCCGCATCCCCTCCCTGCTCTGACGGAGGCCTGGCCCACAGTGGGCAACAGCTCGTCTGCAGCAATTGGTTTCTTCAAATGTTGCATCTCAGATCCTCCTGCTTCTTGGCATGCTCTTATGCCCTAAAAGCTCTGGTTATTTCAAATTCATTGCGCCTAAATGTGCTTTCAAAATGAATGCCTTTTTCTTAGAAAATGCTGCCATTCTTTGTGTAATGTGGTGGAAAGTTTACCAGTGGTGAGTTGTTCTTAGGCATATATGCATATTATCAGTTTGGAATTGTGGTTGTTCAGAAGTTATACCACTGGTGTAAGTATTGCAGCTTTCTGCTAGCACATTTATGTAACAATCAAACTGCTTGCAGTACAGACCCGAAGCTATTCAAACCAGATCTTCTGTAGGAGTTTAACTCCAGGGGTCTGTGTGTCTCTGTAAGTCTGAAAAATGAACCTCGACTTTTGATTGCGCTAGAAAGCGAAACAGGGAGGAAAAAACCTTTGGCTAGCCATCATCAGTTTGTTCAAATTGCAGGCTGTTTCACATTGGGGTCAACAAGAGAATATCCTGAAAAAGTATTTCTGAAGATTTCAACACATTGCAAGAGTTGGGCCTCCTTTCCTGAAGGAAAATCGTATATAGCTTCCAAATACATAATGCATGACCTGCTTTTGATTTCCTTTGGAAATCCTTTGGATTTAACATTTGGAATAAAGACTGAACCTTAACCTGCCCTCATGCATGGGTTTAAGATTCGTGACTTTCTGGGGTGAAGCGAAGGTGCGGACTCCCAGCAGCTTGCTGCGTCCGTAGCAGTGCGCGGCTGGGGAAATGAGACACGACTTGCCCGGTTCAAAGAGTAACACATGTGGTTGAATTCTCAGCATCTTCTACGCAGCAATTTATGGTGTGAATTCACCAAGGAACTCCATTTTCAATATAATTTGTAACAAATTTAGTCAAAATGAAACAAGAGACTTTACACTTGCGGAGTATGAATATCCATGGGAGGTGTAAATGTGGCATAACTAACCCGCGCGCTGGTTTGTGATAATCTGCCTCAGCAGCGCAGCTGTCACTGCTTTGCTGTTTACTGTGCCCCACTGTCACTTGATGCTTGTGATCTTTGTGAATGGAGAGAGTAATTTCTTCAACAGTGGGTTTTCATTAAGGAAGGATTTTGCTTTTGGTTAAAAATTCAAAAGCCTGTAATCCCGCCGCTCCAGCCTAATCCTGGCAGGAGCTAGGTCAGCTCCACCGCCTGCTCTAAGGTAACCCTGCCTTGGCGGGATCCTGTGCACAGGCAGAGTGGATAACCATGAGCCTGGGGTAGCGTCGTTGGAGGAGTTGAGTTGAAAAGAGAGCTGAAGCAGCAGCAAACGGTGAGAGGGCCTTCTGCTGAAAGAGAAGAGGGGGAGAAAGGCTAAAATGTGACAGTTATAAAATGTATTCTGTAAAAATTCTGTTGGTGTTCGTAGATTTTATTTTTAAATGTTGCAAAAATAAAGTTTGTGGGAAAATCTTGGAATTAGTTTACACAAATATCTCTGTGTTGTTACAGTTAATGTAGAGAGGGAACACATAGCACTGCAACAGTCTATTATTATTGTTGTTTGGTATACCAAGTGCAGAATAAGGAGGTCTGTTGCCAAAGAAAAGGAAATTGTATATGTGGGATAAAAATTGTTAACATGATTATGGGATTATATTTTCAGCAGTAGAGGCAGCACTTGAAGTGTTCTGGTGTCTGTGGGCTGCATTTCCTGGCTACGCTTGATTACCTTTGAAAACATGCATCAGTCACATTGTCCCATGTCTACCTTAGGAAAAGTCCCCCAACGTATCTTTAAGGCAGGGAAATACTTCATCTTTTATCCCTGCCCGTGGAGGGAGAAATGCCTTCCTTCTGCACAGTACTTTCTGAGAAAGGTGGGCTTGTTTCCCAGGTAGATCTGGCTTCTGGCAGGTATCTAGAGATCACCTTGACAGCGTCATGGCACACAGTGGTCAACTTCCACTGGCGCCTTACTACTTTGGTATCTTTGGATGCAGTTTCACCCAAAATCCAAGGTTAAAGAAAAAAAAACTCGAACTCTGTTATTTTGTGATAAACATCCCATTGCTCCACAGGTCACCTGAGGAGTCTTGAGTACCCATGCTCTCTTCTGGGCAAACTTTTGAAAAGTATTATGTTTGTTCAGGTTTTTCCCTTGGTTACTGAATGTTCATGTTTCTTCAGTGGAGGAAAACTGCAAAACACAGGCACTCTATGCCAGGAAAATGAGGACATTCTCCCAAGAGGCTAAGCTCTGTGGTGCATGTGTCTGATTAGAGACACATTCAGCGGTGCCTCAAACAACTTCCACCCTGGAAACAAAAGCTGTTTTAATAAATACACTTAGTGCTTGTAGGAGGAGCTTGTATTCAAAGAGAACTTGGTCTGTGGTCTTCACTTCGTACCAAGTGTTCCTCCTGTAACAGCGTACTTAGAAAAGGAAAGGTGAGGAGGGTGTGTATCAGCCTGGAGAAGAGAAGGCTCCAGGGAGACCTTATAGCACCTTCCAGTGCCTGAAGGGGCTACAGGGAAGCTGGGGGGGACTTTTTACAAGGGCCTGTAGTGACAGGACAAGGGGTAACGGGTACAAACTGAAAGTGGGGAGGTTTAGATTAGATATCAGGAAGAAGTTCTTCCCGGAGAGGGTGGGGAGCACTGGAACAGGTTGCCCAGAGAAGCTGTGGATGCCCCATCCCTGGAAGTGTCCAAGGCCAGGCTGGATGAGGCTTGGAGCAACCTGGTCTAGTGGAAGGTGTCCCTGCCCATGGCAGGGGGGTTGGAACTGGATGGTCTTTAAGGTCCCTTCCAACCCAAACCCTTCTGTGATTCTATGATTCTGTATGCCATAGTAGAAATGGCTGTAATGGACGTGGCACCAAACTGACGGATGTTTGTGTTGACACTGGAATAAGTAAGACTTTTTGCAACACAGAGACCTGGCCGTGCAGCTCCTCTTCCAGTTCTGGCTGGACAAGGAACTTAGAGCCACAGGACAAAAACTTTCCTAACAGGGGCAGTCAGCACTCAGCGTTCTCGTAGAAACTTGTTAAAGGTCACTTCAAGTTCAGGACACAAGCCATACAACTTTCCTCCCCTTCTTTGGTTGCTGTCATAGAAGAACCAGATGGTTATTTCTGTTTGCTGTAGGTCTTTATTCACAAGTCTTTAAAAAAAAATACAGAAGTCAGTCGTCTACTGTCTTGCTTTGCATGCCAGGTAATTCACTTATAAAGGAGAAACTGTTATAGTTTCAAAGCAATGAACCAGATATATCTTCCTCAGTGACTGACTTTACATTTTCCTCATTTATGGTGCAGGTGGAGTGACAGGAGCTCTTGTTAACATGTTTGTGTAATTGTCAAATCGGACTTTTTTCAGATACCTGGAAGGAAACCATCTGACTGCTGTGCCAAAGGGGCTCTCCACCTTCAGACACCTGACACTGATGTAAGAAACACATGGTTTTGATGTCAAGAAAATTACATGACTCTTTCTGCACTGTGTTGTAGGTGGAACATAAATAGTGTTTAGGGGGGAAGAACCATAAAACCAAAAAACCTTCTGTAATTTGAATAATAAGTGTTCATAAAGATTGAAGAAAGAGTGGAGGTGACTGAGAGCACCAGAGACCCTTCCTCTGCAGCAGCTTCCAGCCTCTGCAAGGCTCTCATGCAGGCTGCTCCAGCTTCCCTTGGCAGATTTATCTGTGCAAGGCTGTAAAGGTCACTAACAGAGGAGACAGCATTCATTTGCACTAGGTGAGACAGTATTTATAATGCTAAGGCAATGAAAATTTGCATAGCTCTTTCCACTATGAAGTCTCATACAGATAGAGGCACAACTAGACTTCTTCTCAATAAACTACTCCCTGAAATACACAGGAGTGAACTTTATTGGCTGAACTATTTATCAGAAATTTTCAAATGCTGTTTCAATCAGCCGTAGATGCTCAAGTCAAATGGGCAGAACAATCTCAGACAAAAACAACGAGGAGGGAAAACTGGAATCCTCTGTTTTAACACAGTGTTTTATTTGGAAACAACTCTAATTTTATTTTCAAAGGAAAGCGACAACAAAACAAAATGTTCTGTTTCAGCCTAAAAGACTTCTTTTTAATGAAAAATGAACTTTTGTCCTAGTAGCTGTCAGTGTGAAGAGTGTATGGAAATTGTATGCCTGTAATAAATTGCAAAGCAAGTTGGTACAGTAAATATTCACCCACGCTTGTATCATCTATTAATTTGTCCTTCTTCAAAAACTTTGCTTCTGTTCACTAGTTTGGGGGTTTTTTTCATGTTATATGCTGGAAACACACCTTAGTATTTCTGAGTCTGAAGCTTTTTAGTCGAGTGTGATGTGCTTTGCTTTCAGAGCATATGCAAAGTTGGTTAGAAAATATTACATCAATTGATAATAAGTGACTTTTCAATTGTTTCAAGCATTCTGCTGTGCAGAAATTATGTAATCTTTAAAAAGGCACTTGTTTTTTAATTCATACATATAAATTATATTTTCTCTGTGTGTTTCTTCAGTGATTTGAGCAACAACAGCATAAGCATATTGGCCAATTACACCTTCAGCAACATGAGTCAGTTATCAACACTGTAAGTAGTGCAAAATCTTGGTAACAGTCCTAATTGCTTCTGAGACACCGTCTTCGGTGCTGAACAATTAGTATACATCTTGTTATTTAAGCACGTGGCTTTCCATGCTTTTTTGTGGTTGAATTAGGAGTGGAATAATAAAAGAAAATACACTGTTGTAACTGTGTTCTCTCGTTCTTCCAGCATCTTGAGTTACAATCGACTTCGGTGCATTCCAGTCCACGCGTTCAATGGGCTCAGGTCTCTTCGAGTGCTGTAAGTACCGCGACTTAGGTGCAGCTGGGTTGTAGCTTATTAGAATGCTGTTGATGGCAGGGAGGTTTTAACGAGCAGATGGCTTTCACTTGATCCAGCAGTCATAAATATTTTCACACAATTAGCTTCAATGTACTTGTACTTAGGTGCAGTATGTCGGTAATGACTAGAGCAGGTGAATGTTAAACCTTGAAAAGAAGCAATTACATATTTGTAGGAAGAATGACTTTCTCTGATGGTTCAGGGACAAGAACTGTCATGAAAACAGGCCTCCAAGAGACTGCCTGGAGGATGTTTGTCTCTTCTACTTGAACAGTGTGTGGGTGCACCACAGGGAAGGACTTTTCTCTTTGGAAAAACTTGATCATATTTTAAAGTGTAATTTTCCATTGGATGCTTCAGCAGTAGTGTCTTTACTGAGAACTTGTGCAACTTTTTAGAATATTTTCTATAATTTTGGACTTCTGCAGGCAAGTTTTTACATAAAAGAATGCAATATGAAGGGAAGTTAGAAGTCAAGCCAGTGCCTAGGTGCCAGTAATGTGGAGATGCCCGTCTCTAATGTCTTGAAGTTGTGAATAAAATTTCACCACTTGTTGACTGGTGGCACACTCAGAGATGTCCACGTGGGGTTTCTTTCTTCTGAGTTCCTTTCCTCACTCACACTTTCCAGTGTAGCTGCTTTCAGCAGCTTTCTGGATTGAACAATTTGCTTATATTCTCTTTTGAAAGCCATGTTCGTTGTATCATCTCAGAGTGTGAGCCTGTTCCTTGCAGCAAGCAGCCCACCCCATGTCCCCCCCAGCTTTTCTTTGGCATCTGCTAGACTGACTCCTGCTTCAGTCTCATATTTACTGTTTCTCACTCCCCATCTGCCCCAGCGGAAACAAACTCTGAGTTGGGTTAACTCAGTTGTGGACACGCTGACCCCATGTGCAGCTGTCAGGACAAGGTGGAGAAGCCACCTTCCTCCCCACAGCCCAGCAACACAAGTGGGTCATCATTACTTGGCAGTAAACTGAAAGCAAATAAATGAAATCGTTTAGCTGTGATGAGATTATTCAGTGTGCTGAAGGAGAAAGAGCTTTGAACACTAAAAGGTCAGGACAGAGGAGTTGAAGAATATGCCCTGAGTGCTTTGAAAGTTCACATTTTTATTTTCTGTGTTTTTAAAAAAAAGTTAGGTGTCAGTCACATGCAGAGGTCTGTGAATTTAAAGAGCAATGGTTGCTGTGCACTGACTCCATAAATGTGAAATTAAGGTGTCAACACGGACAGTACTGCAACTGTGGAAGCAATAAGGCAATGCTGTTTGGCCAAGCTCTTTCACTGTGGTTTGAGTGGTAACGTAGATATCTGGGTTTCAACCTTCTAACTTACAAGACAGCTTTAGATTCCCAGTTTTCATTACTAAGAACAAGAAAGATACGTGATTTGGATTTGTTGTTTTAAGCTTGGCTTGGGACCCTGATTTCTAGCACACTAGGATGGTCACATTTGAGCTGTTACATGAGTTCTGAAATTCAGCCACAGATGAATATATTCTGTTTCGTGGCCAAAGGAATTGTTCCATATGGAGCTGTCTTCTGGCCTGCCTCTGATACGCAAGCTGGCTTGATTAGAGCTAGTTTGGGACTCTCCCCCTGAAGTATCTTTCCAATAGCTATAATTCGTCTTTTCACTTCTGTTCTTGCAGGCCACATATGGACAGAAAAAAAGGAGAATATTTTAATAACAGCAGTTATATTTTGGCTTTTTTAAATGATCTGCTAATGAAATTTTTAAAATATCTTCCTCCTTTAAGGAAGAAGCCCCCCCTGTCTTGCACAGAGCAGCATGAGTGAAATGAAGCCTTTCCAATAGCTATAATTCGTCTTTTCACTTCTGTTCTTGCAGGCCACATATGGACAGAAAAAAAGGAGAATATTTTAATAACAGCAGTTATATTTTGGCTTTTTTAAATGATCTGCTAATGAAATTTTTAAAATATCTTCCTCCTTTAAGGAAGAAGCCCCCCCTGTCTTGCACAGAGCAGCATGAGTGAAATGAAGCCTAAATGGGGATCTCTGCCTCTGCTCCGTGCATTTGGAAGTCTCCAGATTGATTTGATTTATTATGGCCCACAAAACTCTGGTATCAGCTACAACTTTTGCCACGTGTCATCTATGTTGTTATTAAAAATCAGCTCTCCAGAGAGAAAGTGGCTTCCGAGTGACAATGTGCAATCTGTTATTGTCAGTTATTTATTAGCCATATTCTCAGGGGAATTTAAAAGATAAAACATCAGCAAAACAATTCCCACTTTTTTTTTTATTATAAATCGTGTATAGAGACCTCGGTACCCTTGGCTGTGCATGCCTCTGAAGGTAGCAGACCCTTCTCATACAGGCTTCTGCGTCTCCAAAATTGCTTATGTTTTCTTTACTGTTTTGCCTATAGTAAATAAAGTAAATAGGTATTTGAAAATCAGAATAATCACAGACGTATGACGAAGCTGATCTTTGACAGACAGGTGGTTCTGTGCTCTCTCTTACACTTTTCAGCATAAGCCCAGTTAAGAAAACTGCAGAATCAACATGTGTATGTTAAAGCCTGAATATATATCAGTGTTCACACCATCAGCCCTTTACTCTTCAGTCTTCACATGGCTTATCCATAAGTGTGCTGGGGAGCAATTTCAGCACAGAGTCTTCAGAATGTTTTTAATAAGCAGTGGTTCTGTGCTCTCTCTTACACTTTTCAGCATAAGCCCAGTTAAGAAAACTGCAGAATCAACATGTGTATGTTAAAGCCTGAATATATATCAGTGTTCACACCATCAGCCCTTTACTCTTCAGTCTTCACATGGCTTATCCATAAGTGTGCTGGGGAGCAATTTCAGCACAGAGTCTTCAGAATGTTTTTAATAAGCAGAAGTTGGTACAATTTCAGCACAGAGTCTTCAGAATATTTTTAATGAGCAAAAGTTGGTATTGGTAGGTTTTGGCAACAGAGCTATTGCAGTGAAAAATTTTGATTTGGTTTTGGTTTTTTTTGTCCAAAGCTAGTCGTTTTAGAAGCTAAATTTAAACAGATTTGAAAAGCTGAGATTGAGACAAAGTAATTATAAATATTACAACTCTCTGATAGACCCGAACAGATAATTTTAAAGATTATTTTTGTTGTGTGAGTGTTTTAACTTCTGACATTCTGTCCTGATTTAATTAAGAGGCGAAGTCCAGAAATAAAAATAGCTTCTCAGATGACAAAACAATTTTCCATGTTATACTTATTTTAAAAAGTGATAAAATGAGCTACAGAATATTCTACTAACATGAGATACTCTAGTTGTACGGAAAACCGATGGATATTCATTGCAGTTCGAAGCTCACACAAACATAGTGAGATGTGTGATGAGAAAGCTATCACTAATACTCGTCCGGCACAACCTTGGAACCAGTTTTTGCAATATGCTTTCATGCTTGGATGCTGCACTGATTTGACCTAACAGAAATATTATTTGGCTTTGGTTTTTGCTCTTTTTACATCGCAGAATGACTACTTGTACTTACCCAGTAAATCTGTAAATGGTGCTGCTGTTAGAAGCATTGAGCAGTGATGCCGTGGCTTCCCACTTCCTCTGACATCTGGGTTGTGTTGGTTCCTGCAGGGTTTGGCATCCTTCAGGGTTCATTGTAGGTGTTTGCCCTTGATGGCTCTGTAAGCTCGGCCAAGCTTTTAGCCACATTTCTGTCCTGCCAGGGTAGATCATTGTGTACTGAAAAATCATCCCTTTTGTGTCTATAGTAACCTGGTGTTATGAGGCAATGGGCTACGAGGCAGGGCTTGGGAACAGTTAACAAAAGAAGAAACAACCAAAAAATCCACAGCCCAAAAGGATTTGTTTAGTTCATATCCTTACCTGAAGACAAAATAGTAAGTTAGCAGATGATACATAGAAGGAATTTTTTATTTCAAGAATTCAACTGTTTTGTTACTTTGTGCTCTGAGAGATCTACGTCACCATAAATTCATACCCCTGCTCTTCACTAGTGTTGAGGCAAGATGGTACCCTAGAAGCTGTGCTTTTGAGGGAGAACACACACACAATGCGTGTCCTTTAACTGTCCAAATGCTTAAGATTTTATTTGACCATTTGCTCGTAAGGACTTTTGGTATGAAAATGTGTTCCTGTTGTTAGTCTGAGAGGAGAAGGATTTTATTGAACTGTTGAATTCTTTTGCCACTGTTTATTATTGTGGCGTTTGTTTCTTAGTATTTATAATTTCATTTTAGCTGCACGGGTGATGATGTTGCTGATATGATTTTTTTTTTTATTAAAATGCAGGCATGTGCACCCATGAAACATATCGCAGTGTTTGAGATATGCAGTCAAGCCATTCATTCCAAATGGGTTTATATTTTTGATGGTTTTACCGTGTTACAGATAAATGGCTTTGTCAGTTTTCAACTTCTCTTGGAAGAAGTTTCCAAGACATCTTGGAAAGAAAACATACCCCTTCCCAGAATAAACACAACTGATGTGACATGAAGATAAATATAAGTTCTACTGCCTGTTCAGAGAGGATCGTCTTGCACATCTTTAAGTAGTTTAAAAGATCAGAACATAAGCTCATTATGAGTGACTGCTTAGTTAAATATGCTGATTTCATTGAAGGAGGGAACATTCTGATGACAAGTTGGTGACCAGGCCTGGTCTTGTATCCTCATGCCAACAAGAATACTCGTTATTTAATAGCCCTGGGGTATGTCTCGGTCAGTTGGTCATTCTGTACAGGATTAGTGAGTGTGCTGTATCTGGAGTTACTGTGTGGGAGCTCATATCCTTCCTCTTCCTGTTCAGATTAATTGCTTGGAGAGCCATCCTTATATATGCCAAGTGTTATTATTAATAGCCAAAACCTAGGTATGCTTAAAAGAACATTTCAGAATCAGGATGTTGGAAGGGGAACTTTTTGATATACTGGCCTCAAGAACTGGAGAGAGATGCCAGCGGGATAACTCTGCTGTAGTTTTTGTGGTTTCATGCTCTGGAGAAAGACTTTGCAGTACAATGAGATAGAAACTGCAGCTGCAACGAGCAGCTGTAAAACGTGATTGTGGTAACGTTGCTTATGCTCACATAGCTCACAGCCCCATGGTAGGGCCCAGCCTCATGGAGACAGGACGAGGTGTATCTGCCCCTGGCAAGTTTGGCTTTCCTGGCTGTGCGTACCCTGCTGTAAGGCAATGTGTAAAGGTAGGATTCATAAGAGTTACAAGGCATCGTGTAGATCCTGGTGAATATAATAGTGGAGTTAGGGAAGAAAGGATGCAAAAAGAGATGCTCTTATTTTCATCTGGGGCTATTGTGTGTTTCCATGGGCCCAGATGCTTGCTTTGTTCTAAATAAACTCAGTGTACTCTGTTTCAAGAATCTGTACAGACACACAAATAAAAAAATAAGATGGGATTTCTGTGTTCCACAAATCACCAGGTAAATTAGAAAATAAATGTCCCAAGGAAAGAGCTGCTGCACCCTCATCTGCCACATCTGAAGCACTGACAGTAATTCCTGGACCTGGGAAAGAGGACATAAAGAATACAGCACTTTGCTGTAACTGAACCAGCTCAGTGCAGAAGTGCGAAAGAAAATACACTTTTAAAATATTGATGTTCTTTTCCTTTGCAAGTTTTCTACCAACTTTTGTTTGAGAAACAGCTAGGGAGATCCAGCAGAATCAACTCGGCTTCTTCCTGTCTGTTACTTAGGGGAAGTAGTAAACTGGTATTCAGTGACATGCAAACTAGAAAACTTAGAATAAACCCTCAGTATTTTTCTCTGTGTTATTTTTTTCCCAAATAATTATCATGTGAGGCAGAGGGTGCAGCAGCTGAATAGCTGATTTTATTTATTTATAAAATAAAATCTGACATGACTGTGTATTTTCTCTGCTGCATTTTCTGGGTAGTTTTTATGCAGTTGTCACCCCCAGCATCCTGAGCCCTCCTGCACACTCATTTGTTGCTGTCTGGTCGTAGCCATAGTGTGCTGCAAGAAGTGCTCTTCCTCTCCGTTGGTCTGCCACAACCTCCAGTGGGGTTGCCCACTTTGTGGCAGGACCTTCATTCCATTGCAATTGCAATGAAAACCACAAGTAATCACAAATAATAATTTTTACTCTTTGAATACAAGGATTGTGCCCTACGAGCTGCAAGAAAAATCTTTCCATTTATGCTTGTCTGTGTAACACACACATAATTGTATTTCTTAGAAAAGAGATAAAGTGGCTGCTTAAATTGTCCTGGAAATAGTGGCAAACACTTTCACAAGAATCCTGAAAACCCTGCTAGAAAAATGTTCGTTTCTTTGTGCAGGGTGAATAATGACCTGAAAAAAATAATTCCAAGTATTTTCTCTGGTAGCTGAAATCTATTTGTCGAACGGATTTAAAAAAACCCAAACACACAAGGAGATATTTCCTATGTTAAGAATGGGTAACTAGAATGTGAAAGTGAAGCTGTATTTGCCCTCATGGACCCTTGTTCTCTCCTAGGATCTCTCTAAAGTCAATATTTAATTTCGATTTTCCTTGTTAAACAGTTGCTATTTTCCCTGTTCTTTTTTTTCCTGTGTTTCTGGCTAATGGGATTCTATAAAAGAATACAGGTCTGCATGTGAGGGTCTGCTTGTCATCAATACCCTTTTAATAGCAAAAATAGTATGTCAACTGTTTAATTGAAAACATTAGTCACCAATAATTCTGGTTCTATCATTATTTTAAATGCCAGCATCTAGAAGTAGAAGTAATAAAGCATGAAAGCTCGTGAGTTGTGAAGCTCATAGAAACTCTTAAAGAAACAAAATCAAATGCATATCCTTAAGCACCAATTCCTTCACTTGTGGGGAGCAGATAAAATACTGTGGTTGATACCTTCCTGCTTCTCTCCTTTTCTAGGACACTCCATGGAAACGATATTTCCAGTGTTCCTGAAGGTTCTTTCAATGACCTCGTATCCCTGTCCCATCTGTAAGTACTTCTGGGTTCATCTGTTTGATTGACGGTTTCAGATTTATAAAACAGTACCTGTTATTGCAAGTTTAAGATTGTATATCTTTTCTGTTTTCCCAGCTCACTTTCCATATTCTGCTCTGGATATTCATAGTGCATCTGTTCAAAGGAAATAAAAACATACTAGAACCTGTTGTTATTAGTTACCAAAATATTTTCTTAAGGAAAACCAAATGAGCGAATGTGACAGTTGCCTCTTCTGTGGACTTTGTGTTTAAGGTTTTCTTTCAGCATTGTCTATGTGAAATGCAGAGTGTGTTATGGTCTGAGTGAGAGACAGGAAACCTCCCACAAAGAGCAAATATTAAGCAAATGTGAATTCTTTGCTTAATAAGTGTCATATGTTCGTCGGTGTATGAACTTGTTGATGAATCACTGCTTCAGACATATATATTTAATCATATGGAACTTGCTCATTTCACAGCATCAATACTTCAGTTCATAATTTGCAAAAATTATTAGACGTTTCAGATATTTCAGAAAATTACTATTGTATTGATGGAGGTCCAGGATATTCTTAAATGCAGTTCAGTTGTTGAAAGAACGGTAAAGACAAATAGCTGCAATTGCTACAAAATAAACCTGAAGTGTAACAGTTGGTGCCAAGAGAGTGAACAGAAACGGGTTTTTCTCTGAGATACAATGTGTGATACTTCACATTATTAGACAACAGATGTAAAGGAAAAGTAATTTTGTGTAGTGTGTTTCTCGATTACTATCTTCAAGTAATCAGAGGGTAGGGTGTGTCTTGGTCATTTTGGGAAGTAGCTAGATTCACAAGTTGATACGGATATTTTCTGCTCTGATGCTGCCCTCGTGCACAAGGTGATGTTGATGGATACACACATTGAGGCATACAACTGGATATGTGTGCATTTAACCTAGGGTTTATATCTCTCTTTCTCTCCTTGCAATCTTAAACGCGCCCTCCAGAACGCTTACAGAATACAGGGTTCGTTCATATGTACGTATTTGCTGGATAGCAAATATGTCCTCGGACTGTCTCTTTCTGTGTAACACCTTTCTGCTTCAGTTTCTCTCTGGACAAGAAAAAGTAAAGAGATCTCGGATTGGTAGGGACAGAAATCACAAATGAGCAACTTGGGCAATTTCAGCATCAGCTGAGAAATAACCTTCTCCTTTTCAAGCTCATACCTTGGCATCTAAGTCAGAGAAAATCTTTGTTTTGCCCAAAATGTGCATCTTCATCACGTTCCCAGTACAGTCGAGTCATTTTGCACATTGCTTTGGAATGAAAGTCTTATTGAGCCGAAGCCCTGTACCTCCTTTTGGAAGCGCAGTGACACCTTCCATACTGGGAATCTGGCTTCTGAGGATATTTTTAGAACTCAAGAGATAAACATATCATACCCCATTTGTTTGGCTTTTCCTCAGGGTTTACTTTAAATCAAGTGCAGATACAATTTTCCTGGGTAAACCATTCTACCTTAGGGAGTGATAAAAACCCCTTTGGCCCAATACAATCACTGCAGTCTATCTGTTTAGATATATGTGCTGCCAGAAATGTAAAATACACAAAGCTGAAATGAACAGTAATAAATAGGATCCATAAAATAAATAAGACCTGTCTGGGGTGTAATTTGCACAGTTGAACACTTGAATTTTACAGTGCAATTGTGCTCTCCAATTTCTTAAAGAGGATTCTGAAACTTTTAGCAACCACAATGATTTTTGCTCTTCACATGACAGAAAAAGCTGTGCGTATTCAAACAAAGTCATACATAATTCAAAATACATTTGTTTTGAGCTCTTCCTGATATATAGATCTTCAAGGAGAAAGCATGCACTTGGAATAATTTTGAAAATTATATGAGGGGTTGCTACTCATCAAACTCATAATGTATGGGAGAACAAAATTTTATGTTAAATTTACAGGCTGTGTGGCTAAGAGTAGGACAGGTGTTATGACAGGGGAAAGCTGTGTTCTGCAGTATAGACAAAACTATTGATTTTAGTCAGTCTCTTGTAATAGCTCTACATCGGTCTGTAATTGGAAGAACAAAACTGAGATCTAGATACTTCAATCACTTCTTCCATAGCTGTTTAAAGCCTACAAGAAAGTGTTCACCAAATTTCCCTTACATCGTAAACATCGTATTGTTGGCACATAACTATAAGAGCAAACTGCGTAGCTGATACACCTCGCTAAAGACAGAGGAAGGTTTGCATATGGTATACACACACTGGTTTGGGTTACTATTTATTACTTTCTTTACTTGAATCATAGAATTGTCTACCTCAGCCCAACTCTACTGACTTGTTTAGTCCCAGGCGATGATAAAAATGTTACTGCACTACTGAAGGATCACATATCTTAATACTTAAAAAGAACCCAACACCGACTGGGGTAGAACTGAGACCAGCTCGGTTAGGTCAGTTCCTGCATTTGCTGTCCTCCCCATTCACTGACTCACACAACTCTGTAACTGATAGAGTTTCCCAAATGCTGCCCACACAAGCTGACCCCTCAGCACCCCGCAGAGAAACCCTTGGTAATGGATGCTGTATGCAGCAGGTACTTCTGCCGGATGTATTTTCAATAAAAAGCTTAGATTTCTAATCCTGTTGAATCATCTCATCTTTACTCAAATTTATGTTAGTTACCTATAAAAATAAGCCCTCCTCTGTTTCTCCACATTGTTGTGGCTAGAGTTATTTCAATTGACTTCATTCTAAGTTGCCAAAAAAAAAACACCCAAGTGTCTGAACAGAAATGCCTGCACAATATTTTGAAAATTCTGGTGGTATTTCACTACAGCACAAGATATTTTTACCTTCTGGAAATATTTTGCTATAGTGGGCAAAGAAATAGAGAGAGCATGTTAGAACTCATGAGTGAAAATACAAGAATTCAGTATAGTTGCTAGAAATTAAGAAAAAAACAAAACCACAGAGAAAAGAAAAGAAAGATACATGTGATAATTTCTGAACTTGTACAACAATGTCACTGGTAATGATTTCTCGTGTCTATAGAGACGCTTTATTTCGAATGTAGTTTATAAAGATTAATTAAGACGGTAACTAGCTTCCCATAGCCCTCCCACTCCCTTTTTATATATGGCAGGTGCTCAATGCTGAAGTTAATTTCTTGGTCCAACTTTCACTGTTGCATTTTGCTTGACCTTGGACAAGTGAACCAGTTGATCACAGTTACAGGGTCAAAAAGTCAACCCAGTAGTTTTTTTCCATTGTAAGCAATGGATTTACAGAAGGAATGGATGGATATTTTTTAATACTGCGCTGCAGTACGCATTTAATTTTGATGAATGAGCCCTAGACAGGGTTTGAACCTATGAACTCTCATTATGAATCTGTCTGGGGCACAGTGGGTTCATTAGTCACTCCAATAGGAAAGTGTCAACAAATTTACTGAGGTTTCTATCTTAATATCCTGTCTGATATGTTTTTATTTGAAAGAAGCTTGAGTGTAAAATACCATCTTAAAAATAGTTTATAACATCTACAGAAACAGTAAAGGCTAAAACCCAATCTGAATTTTTGGTTTCTTTAGTATCTCCTCTCTGTGCTAATCTTTATTTAGTTCATTTTCTTCCCATGGCAATGCAGATGATGTACAGCTAAAGCCTTGCATTTACTTGCAGCAAAATGAATTCACGTCTCCAACGTGCTTTTCTTCACACTTTCAAAAATTAATTGTTTTCAAACTGACTTTTCTGAAGTCTTTTAATTGACTATTGCCTGAAAAGACACCTCCTATAAAAGAAAAAAAGAGTATGAATGAGTCAAGGCAGCACCTACATTTAAAGTAGGTGTTTAGGTGTTAAAGTGTTTGTTTTCTTTCAGGTAGATCTCCACGGATAATGAAAAAGTTCTGTGAATTTTGGTTACACTATGTGAATGCATCTACCTCAGCCATCTGACCTAACTCAAGGATGGCTTAACCAGCAGATGTGTCATAAACAAACTTAGCAGAGGCCAGGCTGCAGTTCTGGAAACAGGGCTGTCCTCTGAGTGTTTGTTTCATCTAGTGAGGAGACATTAGCGTGAGTCATCAGATCCAAACTGAATGACACAGCTCACTGTTAGAATATGCTCACGAAGGCCAAAGACCCAAATACAGGAAAGCAGTGCGATGAATTTGATGAAAGCAATATGTCTGGCGACACTGCTCAAGCACAATTGTTTGAAAAAGTGATTTATTGTTTGAAGAAGTGATGTGTTGTTCAGTATTTATACAACCTCCCTAACTAATGATGGGAAGAAAAGAGTGGGAATACTGGAAGAGATAAATCTAAAAGTCTTCCTGAATAGTCAGATCATCTTTCCCACATTTTGAAGTAAAGCATTCCTGTAAAAGTGCAGAGTAAAATGTGCCTCAGTGAGATGAGAGATGTTATCTTTGCTTGCAAGCCAAAATAACTGCTGTTGTTTTACACCATTAGGGCTCTGGGTACCAACCCTTTGCACTGCGACTGCAACCTCCGCTGGCTCTCCGAGTGGGTGAAGGCTGGGTACAAAGAGCCAGGGATAGCCCGCTGCAGCGGGCCGGACGCCATGGTGGACAGGCTGCTGCTCACAACACCGACTCACCACTTCCAGTGCAAAGGTAGGAGCAGGCAGGGAGGGAGGATCTCGGCTCTGTCTTAGAATCATAGAATATAGAATGGTTTGGGTTGGAAGGGATCTTAAAGACCATCTAGTTCCAACCCCCCTGCCATGGGCAGGGACACCTTCCACTAGACCAGGTTGCTCCAAGCCTCATCCAGCCTGGCCTTGGACACTTCCAGGGATGGGATCTTGTTGGTTTTCCTCATATACAGTGCTTTATTTTTATACGCTTGGAAGCTGATTGGTTTTCAAGTGAGCTGAGAGGGGAAGTTGGGTTTGGCTTTTATTTTCTGACCTATCACATGACATCCAAGTTTCATTTTCAAGTGTTCTTCCACAAAGTGCAGTTCACTGCACCACTGAAAGGAAAACCAGCAAACCGCAGAAGTGTTAGTATTCCTGTTGCTCACATTAGACTGTATAATGGCAACTTAGCATATAGGATGTTGTTAGAACTTATTTGACCAAATAAAGTGGTTTTGGCCTTCTACCTACCCCAAAAACTTTGGTAAAATCAGAGTTATTTTAAAAATATAGAGCATTCTAGTTATTATGTACATTTACATGAAAACTGAGAAACTGAGAATTCTGCTGCAAAGCAAATATTTACCAAAAGTACATTTCCATTTGAAGATCTGCAAACTGTCCTCATCATCTCTGTATCAGAAACTGTAGGTTATGAAAATGTTCCATGCCTCAGTACAGTGTACATTCATTCAGGAGAGGGTTGGGGTGTGACTGTTAACGATTGGGGGTGGTCATTGGTAGGAGCATGCTGCATTAGAGAGCACGGAGACCAAAGATAAGGAGCACGCTCTTTGGGGGATAAAGTATCTTACTACTGAACGTAGATTAGGATATACCTGCCTGCCCTTATTGTAAAAAAAAATAATGTTCCATGCCTCAGTACAGTGTATATTCATTCAGGAGAGGGTTGGGGTGCGACTGTTAACGATTGGGGGTGGTCAGTGCTGCATTAGAGAGCGCTGAGACCAAAGATAAGGAGCACACTTTTTGGGGGATAAAGTACCTTATTACTGAATGTAGATTAGGATATACCTGCATGCCCTTATTGTAAAAAAAAATGTTTTGGAGGTTTGCTTAGGTTACCAGCAAGTAAGTGAAGATGGAGCTGTATGTATAGTGGAAAAGATGCGTCAGTAGCCTCTGTTAGAAATGGAAATGAGGGCATAAAGCCTGGTTTTATGTCTCTCAGAGTGCCATGAGCATTTACAGTACTGCTAGGCAGCATGATTTTATAGGGCCTGGGATTAAACTGCTGAAAAAACAAATGATGATGTTGAGGTGTATTTAGAACATGAATTCCCAAGCCTGAGCTGAATTTTATGTCCTTTCAAATATATTTTTAATAAATGTAACCCTATAATTTAATTACCATGGAATGTCAGTCTCAGAATTATCAGAACTCTGACTATAATTGTCAGGACTACAGACTTTATAGTGGCCTCTCAAATGTGAAGTACAAATATATCCTAAACACTAAAAATACCAAATAATGTACTTGTTCACAGGAAGTGACACAGAGAAAATGATTGTATTTATATATTAAACAGGTTCTGAAAATTAATCCAGAAAGGGAAGTTAGATGACTTCTTCATTCTGAAACTGTGATATATCACCAGCTATGCTCACTTTCTCTCAAAACTAAGCAAGCAACTCTTCGGCAAGAGAGAAGTAAAGCTGTGATCCAGACTATTAAAAACAGATGTGTGTTTTTATGTAAATATTAGTTTGGTCCGTGGGAAAGCTGGTGGGCTTTCTGCTATCCCAACTGTCTCCATGGCTGCTTTATCTGAACAGAAAAGGAGAAGTGTTGATTCGGAGGTGATCTTTGGCCAAGCAGAAACTGTTGATGGTCTGGACAAGTGGCAGTATACTCCAAGAAGCTCCAGGCCCTAGAAAAACTCACCTTTTCTCATCACACTACATATGTTTTGAAAAGCAACGGATGATTTGGTGGTCTAACTGGAACCCATTTCCCACATTTAAGAACCAATGCCTCATGCTATTCTGTCTGGACATCGGTGATGCTCTTTTATGGTAAAACAACAGGATTTGTTGCAGTGTCAAGTGCGAGTTGACCCTTGGGCTGGAGCCATGACTGTGGCCTGTGCCAGGGTGCGGTGCAGTCCTGTAGCTGCATCGCCCTCTTATCGCTGAGCGGTGGCTGGGACACGTGCCTGTCTGTGGCAGAGTGTCCGAGGATAAGTGTGCGCTGCTGCCTGCCTAGCTCCAGTCCCAGCTCAGGTACTGCACGCACAGAGCTCAGGGTGGGCTGATGCCCCCGGGCCCCTCAACGCCTGGGTCATTGCTGCAGAAGCAGCCCATGCTCAGCTTGGTACCTTGAGATGCTTGTGTAAAGGTAGCGTGTAGATGTCCCCTGTGACCTCCAGTAACTGTTACAGTAAAAAAAAAAAAGCGGAGTTTAGCTTATTCTTGTTAAAATTATGTTTTCAGCCTGTGACTGAGCAGAAGGTTATGTCTCAGCCGAGCCAGGAAAACAAAAGTATGTAATGTGCAAGTCATGCAAACTCAGCTCTGCTTCTTATTAAATTGCCCTTCTAGTTATGTAGTAGAGGAGGGGAATGTGCTGGGCTGAGGGCATTTTGCTATATGGATTTATAAATCAAATCCACAAGGGCAAACTAATGAACTACTTAACTGCTGGGAACTAACACTGTTCTTATTAGCTCCTACATTGATTAGCTTTGATCTATGCCATAGGAAAAACTGGAAAATATACGCATGTGTATTATGAAATAAATAAATAATAGAACAAATTCTGGCTTAGTGACCTCTAAATCTCGAAGAGCAGCACTGCTGCCTGTTTCATAAGCTCACCAAGGAGCTACCTTCATATATTATTCTTATATTCTACCTTCAAGGCAAAAGTAGTTCAGATATGTTGCATCCCACCCCCACCAGTGCCAGAAATTCAGATCTGATTTCCTCTTGCTGTCCTAACTCAAAATTAAAAATTTGTATGACATTTAGGTAAATATAAACACAAGGATAGAAGAGGACAACAACAATCTTTTATTTCATTTTTTGGATTTGTTACTTCTTGCATATTTTTTCTTCATTATTGCATGTTGCACTCTGCAATCAGCTGTGCCCTGTCAACAGAGCATTGCACCCTGCAGTCAGTGGCCCCGACAAGACCCTTCATTATTGCATGTTGCACTCTGCAATCAGCTGTGCCCTGTCAACAGAGCATTGCACGTTGCACCCTGCAGTCAGTGGCCCTGACAAGACCACCGTCAGTACAGGATCAGGATACAGCCTTTCCATTGCAGATGCTTTTCAGCTGACACTCCTCAGTACCCATCTCCATCATGTTCTTACTCCCTGTCGTGCTGTGCGATTATTCAGAGTTAATAATGAAGGTTTATATCTCATACAGGATGGCCCAAAGCAAATCCTTGACTGGGAGGGATTTTTTCATTCCTAGTTTTGGTAACCTTCTACAGTTCCACCTTCCCTCTAACATCAATTATAAGCTTATTTTCTCCATTTTCAGGATGTTTCACAATTTACTTCATTTTATCATTTATCACACAATACCAGAAGCTCTGTGCCCACTTCTGATTAGCACAGAACCAATTTTAAGTTATTTTAAAATTCATTTCCTTAAAAATTAAATAGAATTATTGTAGCTTCCTTACAGCCTGATATAATCTAAGCCCTTTCAAAGTGTTGTTTTATTTTTTATGTGTAAAAGCTGTTAACTCATTAATATTCAAAATTTAGCCACTTCAAAATCACCATTTCTTTAACTGTCTAAATTAGGTTTCTGTAAAATCTCAACAGTAAAATATTGACTGACTTGGTACTTGATCTGTGTTAATTTTCCTGCTCACCAACACACACCACTACTTCTCTGGAAGAGGTCTGTTAAAAAAAGTGGTTTATTAAATGGTTTGAATATGGCCATGTGTATTTACCTGCATACATTTACATGTTTGCATATTTGTCTCTGTTGCGTTTTCTGAGATAGCTGAATGTTGATAATTATTCTTCTGGGCAGAACAGGAAGAAAATAAGTTTTTAGCTCTGTTAAATTAAGGATGGTAGAACACTTTGCACCTAGATATTCCCCTAAGCCTCTAGCTAAATCTTTCTTATGCATGTTTGTCATTTCTGGTGTTGCATCTGCACTTTCATTCTTGTTACCAGCCATAGAGCTTTCATGTTATCGTTCCCTAGGGGTTGCTATTGCAGAATTTCCAGCACCGAGAGAAGGAAAAATTGCTGAAAGCTATATATATAAGCCCACTCTCTGGAGATTCCCAACATGTTTTTTCAGAGCTGATGCTTGCATGTCCAGGAGAATATAAGCATCATTGAGACTTGCCTAGCACTTGATTTAAGTACTTAAAATCTCTCTAATCCCTGGGAATCCCATACTGTTGTGTAAAGTCGCACCCTCAGCATGTGCATTTGTGCCAACGCAGGGCGAATGCTGCATTAGGAAAAACTATATGTGTGAGTACGGGAAGTACTAATTTTGTAATCCAATTCTCTATTAATACACTGTGCTTTCCCTTTCCAGAGCCGGTAGATATCAGTGTTGTGTCCAAGTGTAGCCCCTGCCTCTCCAATCCATGTAAGAACAATGGGACTTGCAACAACGATCCAGTGGACTTTTATCACTGCACTTGCCCTTTTGGCTTCAAGGTATGAGTACAAATGAGCTACATGAACAGCAATAAAGTGTTCCCCAACCCTTCTGTTTTCTTAACTGTTGTACCATGAGAAGTCAATTTTACAGGCCACCGGGCTCAAAAGATCCCTTAGCCCGGCAGATTGTGTGTGACCTCTCAACTCAGTCTCACTACAGATTTTATCCGGTGTGATGAGGTTCCTCTGTGTGCTGTGACTGTGCAGGTCATCCTGAGCAGCTTGCTCTACTTGACCCTACTTTGAGCAGGGTGGTTGGACTAGATGATCTCCAGAGGTTGCTTCCAACCTTGGGCATTCTTGGATTCTGTGATGTAGACATCTGTATGAAATGACAAGTTGATTTTATCTTCCTTTTCATTTCTTCTCTTCAGCTGACAACAAGATAACCATTTCAGAGGCTGCCAGGCCAAAGGGGAGGCAGTTTGGATGAGGATTAAGGGCCAGTTTAGTCCTTGGTGACAGAATGTTGATCCTTGCTAGCTTACATCCATCTCAGACTGATTAGTGGAAAGGTGATCACTGATAAGACCCAACCACTAGCTCAGTTGTCTCTGACTTGTGAGCACTAATGTCCATAGGGTGATCTGCAGATGTGAAACCCTGTAGATGCCAAGCATCATGGGCATGCAGTGTCACTTTCTTGCTAACACATTCAAAAACCGGAAAATCGTGTCATTGAGGAATGCAGTTTCTTCGGCAGTGGTGCATGTTTAACTCCCGTTGTTAACACTGCATCGTGAGAGCCTAAGGCTACCAGGAGTTTGTTTCAGAGTGGATATAACTGGAAACCTAGCTCAGTAGTCAGTAGCTGAAGGATTATGCATAGGTAATAAATGAGGCATATGATCTGTTCACAGCCTGGGGGGGTTCAGATGTTATGTCCGAAGAAGTCGGTTGCATCCTGTAGACTGTGATTTTATTTGCCTCATTGGGTATTTCTTACAGAGTCTCGGTCAGCTGAAGCAGATGCTCATAAAACACAGAGTAATAAGAACTACAGGGGAAAAAAAGAAGGGCAAAACCAGACATACTTGTGGGAAGTAAGCACAAGTATACATGTCTTACATTTCAGGTAGGATTTAGAAATTAGTTGGTTCTGATGATATCACCATTTCCCTTCTCTGTTTGCCTAGGATACATCCCAGATGGTAACAGAGTAATTGTGGTAGATCCCTGAAACACTGGAAAAGTGAAGGTGTAAAGCTCATTTCTCTTATTTCACCCCAGTGCCCCCACGCTTGGTACTCAAGAACAATAACAATTCTCCTAAATAATTGAAAAAGCCATTGGAAATTTCCTGTCATTAAAAATCCTTCTACCCATTGGCATGTCAGCCAGCAACTTTACTAGTATCTGAAAAGACCACATTGTCCAAAATTCATTCAACTGAAACGAACTACGTGGTAACAATTGATTTGTCTTGGCAGTGACAGAAACTGTGGCTGTTTATCTCCTCAGGTTAACCGAACAGTCATTTTAATATGTTGTCTGACATAAACTAGCTTGAATTCTTCATACGGGACTAGGTGACTGTTAGGATAACTTGAAAAGCAGAAGCTTTCAAAACTAGCAGAAATATACATAAATCCTTGTGTATGTCCTACTCTTGAGTCACGTATTGCAGAACAGATATCCAGGTAGTTCAGAGTAGAAATATGTTTGTTAGGAGCATATCTTCTTTTCCTTCCCCTTAGTTTTTTCTTTTTTTTTTTCCCCTAGTATTTCTGTATTAGCAAATGAGGCAGTGTAGATGCATTTATACTGCTAGAAGACATGTTTACAAAGGGAGGGTTTATTAACAAAAATAATCAAACATAATCCTCTAGGTGTATTAGCAATCACTTTCTACTGTACATCAGACCTCAGTGTGCATCATTTTACTTGGAAAAGTTTTGATACTCTTTTGAAGTGACTCAGTTTAAACACCTCATAGTGCACTCAGCGTTTCTCCTCTCTCACACACTTTCTTAGGTGACATCCCGTGTGTGAATGTAAAACCTAAAACCTCTCGTGTGCTTGTAAGCACCAAGCTGTCATCCAAGCATGGCAAAGACCAAACAGGCCCAGGCATGGCCCTTAGAGTTTAAAAATACTCACTGGGTAACAGTACAGCGAGAATTGGTGGAAATTTAATAAGCAAATAAGAACTGCGTGTCTTTACCACAGTTTTCTGAATAAAAATGAAATCTGACAGGTCCAAATGCAAACCATATGAAAGGAGCACTCTATCTACCACGCGGTTCTCCACCAGAGATTCATGCTAATTCAATAACAATACCTTGCTTCCTTCTCACCAGCCAGCACCAAACAGCTCTATCCATCTGGAAGCTATTTCCCAGACCTTGATAAATTGCCCTAAATCTGCCCTCTCAGCATTTGTTTTTCCTTGTTTGATGTAGATTTCCAAAAAATCCTGTGTGGAAGAGTGCATCAATAAAGTGAAAAACCCACCCTTTCTCAAATGCAGGCCCACTCAAATGAGCTGACGGCTTTACAGTGTTCCCTGGAAAGGGACAGAGAGTTACGGACCGCTTCCCGGGGTTCCTGTGCTCATGATAGCCTTCAGAAAAAAACCCAGAACTAGCAGAAAGCCACCTAAGTTACCAATTGCCAAACTGGTGCCTGGAGTCAGGAACTTCTACCACTTAACTGTAGTTGCAAAAGCCTATAGTCTAATTTTTCACTGTCACATTGATGACTCAATCTCTTGTTTTTCATGTTCACAGTGGTTTTGCTATTGAATGTATACCTTATAGGGCTTTTAGCATTGTGTAATGCTGCCCCTAATGGGTTTGGGTAAACTTAAAAGTGAGATAACTCATGGACCACCTGAGCTGCGAGGCCAGCGGGCCGAGCAGTTGTGTTTGACGAGGACAGGAATACAGATTGCTGACTTAGGAGCAGGGAAGACTATGTACTGATGGCTATCTTTGCTGCTGCTCTTCCCTTAAAATGCGTGATGAATGTGTTTGCTGTAGATAAGCCATGGTTGAAACAGTGATTTTGTGGCTGTTCTTTGGGGACAGAGACAGTGGGAGACGGTGTGAGTGCCACCAAGGGCGAGGGGCAGGCTGCACAAGCGTGAGCTCCAGGTTGCCTCCAGCGCTGGCCAGAATGCCTCTTCATGTTATGAATCTTGTGTTTTCATAGTAAACACAGACATAGGTGTAATTATCCAGCGGGTTTTTTTTTCCCTCTTCTCCGTAGCATTCTTTGAAATACTATTTAAATCATATATGTGATTTAGATTGTGAAGTATGATTACAAGTAGAGAAATGAAGCTTTCTTCTGCTTTCAGTGCTGCTGGCCACCTGCAGTGCAAGGGTGTGTGAGTGCATCTGGTGGCTGTTAAAGAGATAACGGTACCGTACTAATTCAGTTGTCCTGCAGAATGTGTGGCTTTTATGTATTCCCATTGACACTGTAAAATCAAGTCTGTGTGTGTTAGAATTCAAGAGACTAATCAAACTTGCAATCAATAAGCCATTGAGAAAGGATTTAGTTGAGTTGCTGTAGTATAAAAACTAAGGTGAGTAAAACCAACACTCGGTGTATTTTGCCATTGCTGTATTCTGAAAATGCCCTTTTGGGGTTTTTTTGGCTGATTTTTGCATCTTTCATGTTTTTTTCTTAAAATGAGGTAACAACAAATGGAGAATAATTTCCTTTTTTCCAAATGAGTTATTTGTAGAACTGGGGAAGGAGAGTTTAAAATACATCTTGTGTTTTTTCTGAAATGAAAGAACACTGCCAACCTGGAATGTGGAATGCAGTACCTGCCTAGGCATCACCAGAGCCTCTGTGATGGCTCAGGTAAATGGGAGCCTGAGCTGTTGGGATGCAGGGTGTTTGTCAACTCTGGGTTCTGCTGTTACCAAAAGCTGTCGGAAATGGGAAGTGAAGATAGGCAAAATTAGTCTAGCACATAGCCCACACTTTAGGCAACAGATGCTGATGCATGTCTGTGGTAGAGCTGCTCTATAAATTTTATCCAGCTCTATTCACCTCCCTGTTGAGTTCAGCCAGTGTCCTGACTTTTCTAGCAGCACTACAGTATCTTGAGGGTTCAAGCAATTTCACCAGTCATCCAGAATGACAGATACAATTGGAAAAATCCTGGGTAAAGCTCTTGGGCTTTGGAGAGACAGTATTCTTTGCAGCCAGAATCTTGTGGTGGGAGGCATTATAGTGAAGCCAGAACGATACTTAGTGAGGAAGCTGGCTCCAAAGTTCTGTTAGGAATTTGGCTCTTCCTCCTCCCCGCCCCCTGCGCCAGGTTTTTGTCCTGGAAACAGGGTGAGAAATTGAGGATCTCCAAGCAGAGTGTCACTTGCATATGCAGGATTCGTGTCTATCACATGCTGTACACAGATACAGCTAAGGGCCAGCACTTGAGCAGGTAGATGCAGCTGAGCAGGAGCTGTGACTGCTCGCACAGCGCTAACAAGCAGGTTGTACCGGTACAGACCCCATCCCCTTAGCACGGACTCGGTGCTGCACTGGCTGCGTCGTTCGCTCGCGAGGCTGCTCGCTCGGAGCACAGGCAAATGGGGTTTGCTCTATGTGCACTTTGCCGAGGAGATGTACTGCGGTAGCGTTACAGGAATGATCTGTCAGCGTCCTAGAATAATGCCTGTTTGAGGAGTATTCAGCATAGAACTGATCTGAAAACGTTGATATGGTAGCGTTTGCTCATGTACGGATAGTCTGAGCAGCTTTTACGGCTCAAGGCCGAGACAGTGCAAGTTTGCTCCAACGGCCAGTTCCTCATTTCGGCTGATTTGGGTGGGGTTATACAAACGTAACCGAGGTTAGTAGTGCCTGGCTGCTGATGCGGGCCAGCTGTGTGAGAGCCTGTGCCTGGTTTGTTAGGTTAATACTGTTTGGAAATGTAACTCCGTGCTTTTGTTTCCTTGGATCTATTAACATATGCATTTAAGTCCTTATATACAGCATTCAGTGCACAAATAAATCCCTGACTTGGAATTGCAAAA